CGTGCCCCTCCCCTGTCCCTTTCTCTTATACACATCTAGATGTGTATAAGAGACAGGTATATTACTGTACTGTATTATTTAGATGGCATTTTATTATAGTTACATCTACCACTGCTACTGTATGTTACTAATTTGATTTGTTGGATTTTATATTTTTTAAGTTAAAAATATACTTAAGACCTGCTATAGCATCAAAATGTCAAATTGTTCAATGATGTCCACAAATTTGATGAGGCAGTATTACATGGGTTATTTCTCAATATCAATCTTAGAAAATCACTTTGTTTATTCACAATTTAAAACTCAGTCAGTATACATAAAATTCAAAACATAAAACAATACAATTGTTGTTCTACTGTACATTTAGTCTGTGATTTAAAATAAAAATACCATAAAAAAAACAATTAAATTTCACAACATTTGCAGACTTATAAAATGAAATAAAATTGGCATTAATTAAAATGAACAGACACTACTAGTATTATTCTTGTTCATCTTGCTAATGTTACAGTACAGTATTATTAGTGTTCACTGCCATCTGTATTCGCATAAACATTTTTGATATTGCAGGTCTAGAATTCAAATTTCCCAACAGGACCAACAGCAATTGCTGTAGAAAGGTCTTTTCACTGCTGTGGTAAATCCCAGGATCGACAGCAAGATTTCAGCTGTCGGGTTGCCTCCCAGGCTTAGGCCTAGCAACAGATTTTACCCTTAAAAACAATAAAATCTGTTGATTGCTACTGCAGAAGAAGAATAAATTGCTGCAGTAAAGCCATAGCCAACAGCAACTATTTGCTGATGGAGCATTGTGAGGAAATTCAAACCCTGACAGATCATTCAGTGCCTCCACTTGCACCCCCCACCACCGCTCACTCTCTTACATGTAAGTAGCAATTCCATTTACAAGCTGAATAATAGATGGGCCTCTAAAGCAGTCATAACAGTTACATGAGAGAGAGACAGACAAATACTAGCCCTCACCACTGAATCTTCATTCTGGAGTTACAAATGCAACTGCAGTTGCAACTCGACTGAACATGGCTTCAATGTGATCCTTGTCTACTGCGTCCTTCCACTGACTTTCTAAATGCTGCTCAACTTTCTTTTGATTTATTGTAATGCTGTCTTGTAAATTCAAGTTCTCTTTCATGTGGACCGTAAATATAATGACAACCCTCTTGAAAGGGGCGTTATCATTTTCACAATAGGAATGAAATATCATTGATGCTTCTGCTGGAATACTCTCAAAATGATGAATAATCGCCACTTGTTTGCCAGTGTTAAACCCATTTTCAAGTTCTTCATCTATCAGTCTTTTCGTGTCATGTGGATCAGTATTTTTATATAGAATACCATCAATTTTAATTACATTTGAAATTCCTTCCAAATGACTATAAGATGTTGAAAGATTGGACGCTAAGTTATCTAATGTTTGATGTGCATCTGGACCACCTGCAAGTAGGATCACAGCTGGTCTTTTAGGATTCTTAGACACAATAACATCCTCTGATACTGAGCCAATCAACTTCCAAAAATATGGAGTCTGTTTAGGAAACAAACTTCTAATAGAAACTATTTTGTCTTTAAAGTCCTCTTTAGTAAAACCAGAGGGCATAAGTCCAACTTTGTCATCAACTCTGCTGCTGACAAAACGTGACTGTGAGCAGCTCGCATAGTCTTTGTACAGAAATATTAAGAAGAATACCATAGCATAAATTGTCAATATCCAACAATCCATTTCACAGCTTTCGACTTTCTGAAAATAATTCAAAAAACAAATTGTTATTATTTTAATAAAAAGTGAAGAAAAAGTAGAATTTATGATGAATTTAGAGGAATACGAGTATAGTTGCAGTGCTGATGGCACTTTCGAAGCCAAAGGAGCAATTATTTTCCTGAAAGGCCTATTCAGACCTACAGTAGCTTCTATTTTTAAATCAGTCATCCCTAAACTTGGGTCCTAGTAAACACTGCCAGATATTTATTTATAGAAGTAATTCTATAAAACAATAATGCCTGAATGAAATATTATTGTATATTTTTGTGGTACTATAAAAAGCTGAAGTTAAAAATATAACCAGCTGTAATATAAGAGTTTTGTTTAGCTGGTGACTCAGAATTTGATTGGTACTATACTGTCACCATGCTTGCATGAAATTTAATACAGTACTATAACTATCCTGTGTAACAAATTAACTTTTACATGTATAAACGCAGTTCAAACAGAGGCCTCCATTTTATATTATTATTATTATGCAAACATAATAAACTATATATTTAAAACATATAAGTTGCACATGTTTCAAGAATCATTAATTTATTACTTATAGCATCACATATTAACTTTTACATGTACAACCTGCGTTCTTACAGATAGGTGTTAATGTGTTACACAGGATAGTTAACAATATGCACGGGTGATGTATCAATCAAATTCTGAGCCTAAAGTTTTTTTGCTTCAAAAATATGTTTTATAGTGCAACAATTTAATATGTCCTCTCAGGAATTAATATTTGTACAATTATATTAGTAGGAAGTCTTGTGTGTAGAAAAACTCTTCTCAGGTGGTCTCCTCTCAGTCATTATTAGGTGCTGTTTAGCAGGACCACTAAACTTGACAATAATTGTATTATAATAAAACTTAGTCAAACACTTTGTCATAGCACTAATGAAGAAAGGATACAAAAAAAAGCTTGTGAGAAGTAAACTATAAAATTAAGGCAGTGTTTATTTTGCTATTGGTCCACAACACAAAGCATTTTCATGATTTAGTAAGGGTACTCCAACCAAACCTTAATGATAGGCAAATTCGAGATTTTTAGCTGGCAAAATTAATCTAGAACACAACATGAACTTAGACCGTAGGTACAGATAGCAGTGTTCTTTTTAGTTATGCCTCTACATAGGTTCTGAAACCTAGGTCTAGGCTTGGCCTAAGCCTAGCCCTACTTACTACTTGGTTGGCCTCATCTAGCCCTACTACTACTACTACTACTACTAGGCCTATCTACGACCCGACAAACTAGGCTACTACTATAGTAAGGGGGCTAGATCTTACTTTTTTCATTTTTTTTTTTTAATGAATAGGAGACTTCCACCACCATGCACTGTGCGCCGGTCAGTCTGAGGGGACATTCCCTACAAGATCCTTTACCTCCTGTCAACCAAAGAGGGCGCTAGCAGAACAAACCGTCAGCTTTTCTTGTTTTGTGACTGAAAGCGCCATGGACTTCCTACCATAGTTAAATCATTAAATGATTAAAAAAAAACTGTGTCGGATGTCACTAAAGTAGGCCTACGTCTAATAAGAAACCGCGCCGTTGTTTAGACCTGCATTCCTGCTCTGCTGAAAATCATCTTTATTTGCATTCTTTATGTTGTTTGCGATTTCCCCCAGGTTTTTCTCATACTTGTCAACCAGTTGGTCGAGACTCCATTCTAATTTAATTTTTAATGGGGAGGTGCAGAGTTAAATCATAATTACAATATTATTTGTAAGATCTTAACCTCTCAGAGCCAGAGCTCAGTAGTAAAGAAGCGCGTTCAAGTCACAAATTATAGAAAGTAGGCCTGTTAGCACATCCCTGATTACAGGAGGTAAAGATTAATCTTTATACGTACCTACTCCGATTACAGTACTCTAAAACAGCCTAGTGATGCATGAATTCAAGTTGGATTGAATTGGGAGACACCCCTGTTAAGGGGACACTTTTCCGTGAAACGCGACGAGGGGAATGTTCACACTCGGCCAACCCCCTTACGAGACGTACAGGGACACCTTCTGAGTGTACCTTATGGTCAAATCAATATATTTTTTTTAATCCTTAAAATGAATATCGGTATCAGTAGGCCCGCTGTGTGTGTTACTTTGTATAAACTAATCAGGGATTGATTAGTTCGTTGGACTACCTTCATATTTGACTAAATTAATCATAGGATTTTTTCTTGTGTAGGCTATCCTCACCATTTCTAAGTCAATACTCTATCCATTCTGTTATCTGTTATAGCACTGGAATCTGAAACAATAAACATTGATTGTTTTATTTTGATTTCTTCATATATACTGTATTTTACAATTCGTTCTATATAAGGGCAACTGAAATAAAATTATAAATAATGTATGTCCTCATTGTATGACATCATGCCAATGCCTGTATAAGAGAGACAATTTCACGTTCTTGGTAAGTGTGTTCCCTTAATAAGGGTGACCCCTAAATATGGTTCTACATCCTACTAGGATTGAATATTTCGACGTGCCCCTCCCCTGTCCCCCTAACGGATCCGCGCCTGCTAGTTATATTTGATACTCTCTAAGTGTGTAAAGGAATTGGCATCTCTATGATTGACAAGGGATGGGGTCGTGAGTGACAAGATTGGCATTTAATTGTCAGTGGTAGACAGTAGTCTTCCTCCAGATTTTTTTTTTTTTTTTTCGCTTATTTAAATTCTCTCAATTCTATACCTTTCAATTTCTTCATTTTCCTTTTTCATTAGTCAGAATAAACGCCTCCAATAAAAAAGGTCAGGCTTATTTCATATTTGTCAATGGGATCCAACAGAGCATTTTCGGACCAGGAGTCGTAATCGAAAGTAGGGCAAAAAGGATTGAATATTTCGACGTGCCCCTCCCCTGTGCCCCTAACGGATCCGCGCCTGCTAGTTATATTTGATATACTCTAAGTGTGTGAAGGAATTGGCATCTCTATGATTGACAAGGGATGGGGTCGTGAGTGACAAGATTGGCATTTAATTGTCAGTGGTAAACAGTAGTCTTCCCCCAGATTTTTTTTTTCGCTTATTTAAATGCTCTGAATTCTATACCTTTCAATTTCTTCATTTTCCTTTTTCATATTAGTCACAATAAACGCCTCCAATAAAAAACGTCAGGCTTATTTCATATTTGTCAATGGGATCCAACCGAGCATTTTCGGACCAGGAGTCGTAATCGAAAGTAGGGCAAAAACGGTCTCTAGGACCCGGCTGGTGGCTCTGTGTGTGTGTGGGGGGGGGGGGGAGAAGGGTGGCTTTATCCACTGACACCACGCCTCTTTGGTACTAATTGTGAAGGAGTGACGTGTTAAATTACAAATTCAACTGAGAAATTATCATTAGGCGGGCCCGTAGCCAGGTCCTTGAAAGAAGAAGGGGTTCTGTGCGTGGGATCCAGAGGGGACTGCCCAAGAGCCCCGGTGGGGTGGTGGGGGAGCGAACCCAGCAAACCCAAAACGTTCTTATAACGTTCGCGAACGTTGTGGTTAGATATGTCACAAAATAACTACAACTTTGTAAGAACATTAAAGCTTTATGTGACGTTGTGAAATTATAGGTTTATATAAAGTACGTACATACGGGTTCTACAAAATAACGTTTTTATCCCCAAAAACGTTATTATAAAATTCTTATAACGTAATAGAAGCCCCCTCGGAAGCCTGAGCGATTTTTAAATGGATCTAAATAATGCTATAAAAGCAGTTATGTTTGAAAAAGGTCTGCAGAAACATTCCGTCTGATTCTTGGGTGGGTCTGCAGAGCATTTATTGGTGGAGGACCCCCCTGGCTACGGGTCTGCGCCGTATTTAGAAACATTTTGCCATACTAATGAAAATCGAAGCTGCGACTCCAACCCCCATGATCATAGTGCACAGAATTTTCCAGTTTTGGGTGGGATGGGTACGCACCCATTGCTCCCACTCCCCCTGGCTTAATCGTTTTCAACTTGATTGACCAGACCGCCGTGCTAAAAACAACAGAGGTTCGCGGGTCATGGACGATGTTTTAGCATACACAACCGTACCAATGAGTAAGCAATAGTTTGTACCCGATTATCTTGTACAAACAACATAGGCCTAGGAGTAGGCGGACTCGAGATGGGTCGGCAAATACGGTCATTATATTGACAGAAAATAATGACGCTGTGATAGAAATTTTCCATCAGGCTCACGCACTGACGGCCTGACCCACTAAGCGCAAGCAACTGAGATAACCCAATTAATCAAAAGGAAAGAAGGAGGTAATAGTGTAGCGTTTCAGCTTTCGCATCGCAATCGAAGACAAATGCCAATTTACGACTTACAGGTATTGCGCAATGATAAACCATAAAGTTACAGTACTGTTATTTCCATTTCCCAATTTTAATATGATTTCGATTAATTTTATTGAATCGGAATTAGCAACGCCTATACATTATATTATACACTTTATTGTTTTCTTCTTTTTTTTAATGACACTTTGTTTTCCTACAACAATTACGTCTCTTGAGCTTTGCCTTTAGGACGTATTTTAACCGTAACACGTGAATGCCATGATGGGTTTTTGGCACGATGACGATGACTCTTTAGGCTTAAATTTTAATTGTGCTAAGAATGAGTATAAAAATCTGCAATACGTTTATGATATGAAATCAACACTGTACAGTATAAAAAAACAACAAGTTTTATATTGTTTTATGATATAAGTGTTATTAATTAATTAATGACCAATGTTTTAAAAATAATATTGTTTCAAGACGCATTTAATAAAGTGTGATGTCTTAAATCAGGGGGCAGGTTATGGCCTGGTTTGGAATCCTAAAAGTTTATGGAGAAAGGAAAAAAATTAATCATTTGACAGGTTGATATTTATTACTTGCGCAGAGGCATAAAGCTCTCCATTTTTGGTTTAATGTTTTTGGCTCAAAATTTGTCAAAAGATAAATTTGAATGAAATAGTGTTAAGGAGTTGTTGATAAAACAAAATGTCTCCCTTAAATAGGGGTCACTGAATAGATGTTTATTTGACCATTTGCATTCTATAGCCAAGATAGCTTCCCTGTCCTTCAATGGGGTGTTCCCTGGTTGGGGCGCCGAAGTGTAAAAAAAGGGTGTCCCAAAGGAGGGGTTTTACTGAATGTTTTGCCAGTGAGAGAGCCTGATAGGCCTACATATTTTTAGGTAGGCCTATCTGGTCAGAGCCCTTTAATTTCTAATAATAATTCCTAATAAGTAACTTAATTACTAATTATTCAAATGCCGACAAATCCGGCTTCATGAGAGAATGCTGAAACAATATGTTGGATTGGATTGAATTTATTCGGTGTAAACACCAAGGATAGCCCACGAAAGTCGTGAAGAAGACTACCTTCTAGTGGTGATTGACAGTACACTAGACAAACTACTCTTTTCCGAAGAGTGTAGGCCCTACTGCGTTCTATAACATGTACATGGTGGACGGAACCAACGGCTTAGACGTCTCATCCGAAAGACAGTGCGCTATTGTAACTTGTATTTCAGCCCTCCAGTTGAGTAAGTAACAAGTAACGAGTAAGTACTGTACAGTACTGTCACATTGGCATTATTTACCCTGATTTTCTCATTGTTGGTAGACAAACGGAATAGTCTATTCTGGGCGATTTTGTGGAAAGCCATTTTACAATATTTGACTTGAATAATTTTGTATACATGTATTTGATGTGTGTGTATGTTTAGGCCTATAGTACTGTACAGGAAAATAAGTCTGTATTGCTGTATCTACTTTGAATTTATATACTTTAAGTAGTTTAATTTAAGTTTAATTGTTAAGTTATGATAAGAAGGGGCTTTCAAATTTTGTGCTTGAGCTTTTTTATTTTTTTTTTTTAATGTAACTTTTTTTGGTAATTTTGTTGGTCTTGAACGCACCGTAAATTGAGGAGTGCCACTATAACAAAAGTGTTAAAGTTCAATAAATTAATGTCATTATACACCATTTTTAAATGGACGAATCCTAATTTATTTATACAGAGTGTAGATAAAAAACGACGTCTGCGGAATAGAGACCAATTAACTACCGTTCGTGTCTGGTTGCTGCTGATGACCCATTGGGCCTACATAGATCATACAGTCAGTATCGTGGATGCTCTGTGTGTTGTCTGTAGCTATAAATTCATCAATAGTTTCCCGTTTTGGTATGATACGTGTATTGTAATGTCTGACCAGAAGCATTCTACGGAGAATTCTACAGCAATCCCAATGGTAAGGATTGTAATTATATCCCTGTAGGCTAGGGCCTATTTTGTTTGTTTTTTTAGGCCTAAAATAAGCAGGCAAACCAAATTAATGCCTACCTAAGCATAGAGGATAGGATGCATAATACTATATAGGCTAGAGAGGCCTGCCTAGCTACGGTAGGTTTTCAGTTTAGGGCTAATGCCCAGCCAAGCAGGTAAGCTACTAGAGTACCATGATATAGTAGTAGTACCTAGTTAGTGGAGTGTACTTGCTTACTTCTGCCCATTATGCCTCCTGGTACATAGGGCAGCATTAAGTGGAGTGTACTCCTTTTTAAAAAGTCAGGCTCCAGTCCAGAGGAAAGAAATTGTTTGATATGTTTTGCAGCTGATTTTTCTAAGACAAAAGAACCATGCCTTATTTGATGATAATGAGATAAAAAAAATATGTATTTAGGGCCTAGCCTAACTGCAATCAATACAAACGTCAAAGTGTAAGGTTTTGTTATGGTTTATAATCAGGTTAGTATAGCATTAAGCACTATCACCAATCCTTTTCTATGATAAATACATTAATGAAGTTAATCAGATTATAATAAAGATTAAAAACACAAAAAATGTGCTCTTTTTTTGGGCAAAAATGCTGTCTTTATTGGAGATAGTGAATTAAAAAAATAAATAAATAAAGAACCTTAATAAGGTTGCAAATGACTTTTTTAAAACTATGGAAACTTGAGTTTAAGCCCCATTCCCAGCAAAATTTCAGTTGTTAAGAAAAATATGATTTTTATCTATATAAAAATTGCTAGTTTAACCATGGAGGTATATATTATATATTATACCTCCATGGTTTAACTGAATTTAGACATTCCCAAACATGAAAGAAATGTAAAATAAGTGTTTGTGATGGTGTTCTCCCTCACAATATCTAGGGGTACTGCGTTATGAAGAATAAATAAAGAAGAATGTGACCGGAAATGGTCTGCAGTCAGTTGGTTGTTACCATGCGCCCAGTGATGTTAGAATACGTCAGCAAAATGAAACTATTTATGTAATGCATGAATAAAGTTCGGGGTTTGTCGGGTAGTGAAATGATTATTGTACATTTTAAGTGCGATCCCTCCATGCATAAGTGTAAGCTAAATTACAGTGATTAATTAGCGAAGATATGGAGACAATATTTCGAAGTTCCCTCTTTCCAAGAGGGGATGCAAATGCTTTGTGAAAATGAGTACGCCACGGTACTCATTTTCACAAAGAAATACACACAAGGTTAGCTAACAATATGCAAATGTTACATGAACACCTGGGAAGGAAGGTGCAATCACGTTCTGTTGCCTAGCAAACGTCTGTACTGTAGCGTGTGGGGGAGGGGGGCTAGCCTACTGATGTACTGTGTAGCGGAGAACAATGAGGCATAATAAGATAGACTAGGCCTAGGCCTATGTAGACAGTAATAGAAAAGTACAGTATATGTGATAGAAAGTACACTTTCGAAAGAAATTAATAATATTAAAATAAGAAAAAAAAATAACTAAGAATAACTCAGTTGCAGACGTACCCAGCTAACAATACGGCGCTTGTAGCCCTAGCTAGGCATAAGGCATCAATGTGCAAAGCAGTGGTGTTTGTTTATCAATGAAAAAAGCACGCTGGAAAATCTGACTACGAAACCATATCGGAAATTCACGTTCCACTTCTGACTCTTGAGTTGTGCTTCGCACACGCCGCTGAGGGCGGCATTCCGGGAACCCTGCATCAAGGGACATTTTTAGTTAGCTACAAAGCTGAACATGTGTGAGGACTTGAAATGGCATGATTTTCATTGTAAATGGTGCAAGCATGAATATTGGTATACGGTAGAAACCTGACTTACATGTGACTATCTATTCAACAACTACAGTGATGCTAAGGTGAGCCTTTTTTATACCTTGTTTAGCTAAACCGCTGCCCGCAAATAATGATTATTTCGAATAAGAATACAATTTTATTTTTGGCCATTTAGCATACCCGCAGCTACGAAAAAATGGAAATTTCAGAAAAAAATAAAAGTTTTTCTTTATTTTTATTATGCCCTCCGCTGCCTTGAAATCTCCAAAGATAAGATATGCATATTTCTTCCTAATTAGACACAAATTTAAAGCATTTAACCATCCCATTACTACACTGTGTACATTTACCAATAAAATTTTATTTTTATTTTCTCCTCAGTCTGGATGTTTTTAGACAAAAAACTGCTCGCTCAATAAGAAAACAAAATTTTATTTTTATTTTTTCTGGCGTCCTATGAAGATCTTTGAAAAAATAAGTTTGTGATACAAGGAATAAAAGAAGTTTCAAATAATGTGAGATCTTTAGCCATACAGTACCTCATGTCCTGATTTCTGTTGCCTAGCAAACGTCTGTACTGTAGAGTGTGGGGGGGGGGGCTATCCTACTGATGTACTGTGTAGTGGGGAACAATGAGGCATAATAAGAAAGACTAGGCCTATGTAGACAGTGATAGAAAAGTACAGTATATGTGATAGAAAGTACACTTTCGAAAGAAATTAATAATTTGATTTGTCAAGACAAGGAAAAAATAAGGAAAATGTTCTTTAAAATATTTAACAGAATACAGTAGTGAGAAGCCTGGAAATACATGATATTAAGATACATGATATTAAGATGCACAAGGTTGTTTGTATATGAAACAGAAAACATAATTTGTGTTTTATGATTTTATAGAGAGGCACACTCAAGGTTTTTCATGGTTCTGGCTTTTTTTTTTTTCTTTCTTTTTGCATTCATTTTGAAATGTGTTTTGTACTATTTTGGGGGTTATTTTGAACTATTAATATAGAAAATTAGTGTAGTGTACTCAGGCTTACTTTAATCTGCCAATCCAATTATAACAGATCTATATCAATATTGAACTTATGATACCAAAACTACCAACATTAGGAATGTTAATAAACTCTTCGGCAAGAAGCCCCATGGCCTTAGTCTCAAGAAGAAGCCCATCACGAAAAGAAGCCCACCTCTTCAGGTTACAAAAGTAAAAGTAATCTCGAAAAGAAGCCTATTTGCTTCTAATCAAGATCATTTTGGCTTCTTTCAAGATAGTAATTTACAGTACATTCAGACTGATGTTATCTTTGATGATTCATGTCATTATCAATAGTATTTTATTGTACTTAGCATGGTTAAAATAAAAAAAAAATTGAATTCCATAGTTGAAAAATGTTGTATAATAGCAATTCCAAAATTTACAGCATTTCGTTATTATGTAAAGAAACCCCCCCCCCCTTTTTACTTTGCAAACATAATATCGAAAAGAAGCCCAGTTTGAAAAGAGCCATCTCATAAAGTAGCCCATCCAAGGGTCCTAAAAAAGGAAGGTTTAACAGGTATACAACTTGTTGGAATGAAGCACCTATAAAGTGGGAAAGTTTTGTAAGTACTCCATTTAAAAACCTGTTTGTACTTTTTATAAGACCGTAGGGCCTATTTAATATCAGTACAGATTTTCTCTTGTGCACACTGAAGTGATAGAAAACAAAATTATTGTGTGTTACTTTGTAAAAACAGCTTTATTTATTCCATTTTCTGAAAAAGAAGTTTTTTTGTTGGAAGTAGGAATGTTTTAATGGTGCTTTTTTGTGATTTAGTTAATATTTTTTGTTAAAGCCTGGGTATTCTGATAGTGTTCGCATTACAGTATGAGATATATAGGAATGTTACTACTAAACCACTGAGCTCATGCTTAGTGGCTAGAGAGGCAATAGTGCAGCATGCCAAATCTATGGTTCACTAATTTGTGTGGTTTAAATGGTAGACAGAAACTGATTAGTTTACTAGACTTACACTCAATTACCATCAGTGATGACATAAAACACCAATAGTGTACTTCTGTGTAATTACTCAATAAATAATTAATGCAGCAAGTAATTAGTAAATGATATTTATTGATTTATGATATTTATGTTGTATATGATGAAAGCCCCATTTAAGAAAGTAAAATCTCAAGACCTAATATATGTTATAAATCTGATCAAAGTACATTGTTTGACAAGCAATGAATTGGAAGCATAATAAATATGGCCATACTATTTCAAGACAGGTTTTCTTTAGAAGCAATGTTTATTGTTTGGCCCAGCTATTATTAGGAACTACAAACTGACTGTGAAATTGGCTGAATTATACTTTTTTAATACCTGTACTATATAGCGCTTCATGCCAACAAGGTCTTTAAATGCTTTACATTATTACCCCCGATCATTGGATCAAGCACATATGGAACACATACTCAACTCCCTGGTGAGAATTCCATAACTGAACATTGCAGCTGTATAATTAGTGCATTTTGTGTTTGAGCTTATCAGGTACTCACTTATACTCCTGAGTGGAAAGAGGCAACTGTGTATGTGAAAACAGACTGGTAACTGGTAATAATTCTTTAACTTATGTAATGAAAATTCTATACATTCTATATTTACCTACCATAGTTAATTACTACTGTAGGCACAGCTTGGATAACATATTCAAAAGCCTACAAACAAATCTAAAAGCACTCAAAATTATGGCGGCCTTACGACTGTCACACGATGCAGTGAGGGCCCGGTAATAACCAACCACTCATTTTTATCTAAATGTAGTATATTACCTAATACTGAAAATTGCATAGAAACAAAGTGTTGTTCCATGCCTTATTATCGTACTTCTGTCTCTTATACACCTTTTTTTTTTTTTTTTTGATCTATTATAGATTTTAATTCACTTATAAATAATGATAAGGAAGAAAGATTGTAAACCGCTCCCTGGGCATTTCATTTGTCATTGGTGAGACACTTTATTGAAATTGTCTGTCCACCCCGGACTATTGATACCTGTAGGGTTGAATGCCAATACGCTGATTAGCCTGCAACCTATGGAAAATTCCATCACAGAGTTGGGTATGTGTTGCATACTGTAGGTGTTTAATCCAATGACCGGGGTAGAGTATGTTCAGTGTGCTTTAATAATAGCTAGATTGGCATTATTATTGACCAGCATCAGTTTTAATAAACAGTGCAGTATTATTCTACTCCTTAATATTATTATAACACTACGAACTACACACAATGATAGTGGATTTTGTTAGTTCGTGAAAACCAAAAAGCATGTTAAAATAAAGGTTTTTATGTGCTTATTTTGACACACTTTTTTGTTTTCATGAACTAATACCACTTCGATTGTGTTAGTTTGTGATATGAGCGACAACAAGTAGTACTGTATTGTACCTTGTATCTTTATAATGTTAAGCAGTCATTTTAATGTGTACATGTCCATGTGCACATTAAAGAATGCAGTACACTCTTCGGAAAAGAGTAGGGGATTTGTCTCCCAGTGACTGCCCAATCACCACCAGAAGGACCCCACTGGAAATAGGTCTTCTTCTAGTTGGCTATCCTTGGTTTTTTACACCGAATAAATCCAATCCGATCCAAGCTTCTTTATGTAAAATTTACCTTAATTGTATATTTAAAAAATATTCAATTCAATTAATTTATTGATTTTTTTTTTATTTTTTTTAAAATATTATTTCAGATATTTGATTTAATGAGTATATTTTTTGATATATTTTGAATTTTAACAGCTATCACCATAATCTGTGGTAGTTTGTTGGGTTGTTGCCAGCAATAAACAGATGAGACTCAATTACCGAGCTTTCCACTTTACTGGTCAATGATAAATTTTCTCAAGGAGACAAGATTCTCACGCAATAATAGTGCAAACGCTTCATTCATACGGCATCACTCTCCTAATAAGGTCCAAATCAGAATATTCATGCGTTGAAATTTGATCGGTGTCACCCCAACTTGCCGTATTTAGCTGGCTTGTGTTGCTTTAATTCAATCGGCAAATTGAAAACTTACTGAAGCATACTCATTAATTAGATTTTCCAAATGTGTATGCCTGCAGTTTCATCATGCCTTACTGCCTTTGTAGAGGATACCTGTATATGTTTGTTTACATGCTTGCAAGCAATAAATTGTAATTCAGATTAGAGTGATTATCAAGTACGTCATACGTATTAATCAAGTCATTAAGTGTAAACCATAATAGAATACTTTGCAATTAGGTAATTTACAAAGAAGGTTATCGAGTTTGATAATTAATCGCATTTAATGTCTGTGATATGACGCAGTAACTTATTTTTTCGATTGAGTTACACCACAAATTACCATGGCTCCATGCAATTTAATTGCTACTTTGAAAATAATTCCTATGTTCTCTTTAGTTGACTTGATACCTTAAAGTTCTATAATTTTCAATATTTCAAACCAAAGTGTTTTCAAGTGTTTTCTTGTATAATTATGAAAATGATAATTATTATTAAAAAATTATTACTTTTAAATTTTTAGTTAAACAGTAATATATGTACTTCTTATGTTCTTTTCATTTATTTTGTCTCGATAGTAATACATACACAAAAAAAATACAGGTTTCATAAATTGGCCAGGCAGGATTACCTGGTTAATATTTTTTCTGATTATTATCGTACTTTTATGTAACAAACGACACAAGTAATATAGTAGTTGGTAATAGTATTGATAGCACAAAATAGACAAAATTCACAGCAACTACCGTAAGTAGATACAACAGAAAAACTCTCAATATTCTCCATCAACTTATGGTACGAAACTTAAACTAATTTTTATGAAATGTGATTCATGTTTTACAGACAAAATTGTCACCCGAAGAAGCAGAAGATTTTCTAAATGAGACGGGCGATGAAAACCAGGAAAGAGGAAACTGGTCCAATAAACTTGATTTCATCCTATCGTGCACAGGCTATGCTGTAGGTCTTGGCAACGTATGGCGATTTCCATATCTTTGCTACAAAAATGGAGGAGGTAATGTACTTCTTATGTTTCGTTTCATTTCGTTTGTCTCGAGCTTAACCACAAAAATAATACAGGTTTCGTAAATCGGCCAGACAGGATTACCATAATGGGCCAGACAGGAATACCTTGTTAATATTTCCCTGATTTAATGGTATTTTTACGTTTAATGAAAGACACCAGTTTGTACTTTACGTGCCATTAGCCAGAATTGTGCAGTCACCCGGTCACTGCCTTCATCCATTTTTCCCACTTTGTTTTCAATTCTCTGTCTTCATCCATTTGTCCCACTTTGTTTTCAATTCTCGGGTAGACTAAAAAAATCATGACACATCCTTGCACTTTCTTTATCATCCAGTATAAATCAGATTGTTACCTTTCTTCTCTATACCTTCTGGTCTCTTCTCTTAACAATAATCAATAAACCTGCTTACCTGAATTACTTAAACCTCTTCGTCCCGAGCGGGATATAAGGCATCAACAATCTGCTTCCATCTGGAGAGATCTTTTGCTTACCTGAATTGCACTTACTTATTTAAGCATTTTGTACAGGATAATGCCATTGAGTGTAATTGTAGTTATTGGGAATAATAGCCAGTAAAGGCTCATGAAGTGAACAAATAATTGCATTGAATTGAATCAGACTGGATATTATTTATTTTATATTCGTTCTTAGACCACTAGACCAATTGCATTAGTCTCCTGATGAAGTCCACTGTGTGGATGAAAGCTAGAGATTAAATTTTATACAATACAGAATTAACCCTGTGACCGCCAGGGGTTTAAAAAAATAGTATCAGCCACCGCCAGACTTTCTAGCAAATTTTAACACTTTTCCGAAGCTCGTTGAGAGTGTGTATGTGATCAGATTGACATGTGATAAATACTGTACTACAAGAACATCTTAGCTTTGCTGGTACACCAAACACTTTACTCTAATCACAATCTGTTACCCATAATAGTAAAATGAAAGTGACTGAATAACCACGTTTTAGTATTGCCATGCAATATGAGGTCAATGAGACTAGGTCACATTGAAATAGCGAACACTTGTGTTCCAGACTGAATATAGTGTTCAAATTGCTACAGTAGTACATATTGGTAATTACCCCATCTATCGGATTCCATAAAAAAAAAAAAACCTAAAACACAGAGATCTCAGTGTTTGGCGTTTGGAGTGTGTTATATATTGACAGAGTAGGAGCACTAAGGATAAGCCCCTTGTAGTTGCCGTCGGTTGTCAAACCCCTGTTCAGCAACTGAGAACACCCAGGGCCTCATGAGTTGTTGACACCTAGATCCCATTGCTCTCCTTTGGACCCTCGACGAGACAGGTTAGTCCCCATCGGGTAAATCATGGTGCCACCGTCACTGGCAAAGGTTGCCAAAACTATTCCCACAGCAGCCCATATCTTGCTCTGCACTAATTATACTTTATTGCAATTTACTAAAAATAGTTTATTTGAATTTTTGTTTTCCTATCTAGTCTTCCATTCTTTAATATTTAAATAAAAGCTTCTGCAATAGTGAAATATGTATGATTTTAGACAGCTAATTAAACATAAATTGTGCCCCAAATTCCGAATACGGTTATTTATGCACTATTGATAATTGGTAGCCATATAACATTCCAATATCAGTTGGAACATGAATGAGTCACAGAGCCCATTTAATTTGAAAGGCCTGCCCATGCAGAGATACAAAATGCTAAGTTTCATTCAGTATCATATCCAAATGCAATCATATATAAAATACAATTAAGAATCATATATTATGTAATAGCAAATTAATACATAATAAGCCAATAATAATTAACGAAATTGTCAGTATAGTTTGTTGTGCTAATTTATTAGTGTCCTGAAGGTGTACTTGGCTACTGTTGTGCAAGTTATTTGCTCAGCTGTGTGGCCCCGTAGCTTAAAATAATACCAGGTACAGGTATTGGTAGTACATTCTCTCCATAGCCTTTCCAAGTCTAATTTATTGAAGTTGTATTTCTGTACTCTTTGCATATGACATCAGTAAATATAGTTATATTGTTATATAGCCACTAATTAAATTAAAATAATCTGTGACCTGGTTATAACAAAATACTTGGTCACTAGCAAATACAATATTTAACTTTTCAGTGTCCAAAGGAATAGGCCTATTTTTGATGAATTTAAAATTGATTAATTTGTGTACACTTCATTGATAAATATGTCGGATTTAAACTCCATGGATAAAATATACTGCACTTTGTCTTAATTTTTGCTGTTTTATTAATTTAAAAGTATGACTAATGCCATTGCTATGTTCTCACACGGCAGCTAACGGTTATCAGGATCCGGATCCTGCTAACCGTTAGCTGATGTGCGTCCCTCCGGGAAAATCCCAATCCGGATACCAAAATATGATGATCGAATCACTGGCCAATAAGAAACTGGAAATTGTAAACACGTATGTGTGATTGGTTGATGATAGCAACACGCTCAACTTGCTAACCGATAGCGCTTGCTAACCGTTAGCGGTATCCAGATACCGCTAACGGTTAGCGCTAACCGATCGGACGTTCTCATGCAGGAGTTAATGGTTAGCGCTAACAGTTACCTCCCGAACCGGATACTAGGGCTCTCGTGAGAACCATTCTTAAGGTTTTTACTTTAATATTTTCATGGAAGGAAGTGATTTTTAGTGGTTAAGAAGAACTGCAGTATTAATTTCTAAAGAACTAAAAGTTTTACTGTAGGACCCCGGGCCTTTACTTGTGGAATTTTCACTATCTATGGCTGCAATGCAAGATGGCAATAATCATCTAGAAATTTCAACATTTTTTCCAAAAATCAGAAGAAAATAAAGAATAGTATTGAATAAAAATAAAGGATAGTACAGTATTGAATAAAAATAAAGAATAGTATTGAATAAAATAAAGAATATCGTGAAAAAATTGGTATACACCTTTGACTTTTATTAAGAATTATTATTATTTATTATTTTTCAAATTTTCATGGTATTATAGCTCTTAATTTTCATGTTATTTATTCTTTGCAGTCTTTAGCAATTTTGAATGTACTGCAGTCCAGTAAAACCACTGCTAGCTCCCCACCCCCGATATCGTTCAAAACTAAAAAAGAAAATACTGTATAGGCCTACATGTTTTTGTCAACTTTTGTGATAGGCCTAAATATTCAGCAAACTTTCAAAGTACAGTACCTCATTTATTGGTGTGCTAAAAATATTAATTTGCCTATTAATTAACGTTATCTCTCCCACCTCCCTGAACCTATCAGAGATTTTGTCTAGTACCCTCATTGAGGCAGGGGTGGATTTAGGGCAAACCATCCCCCCTTTTGTACATCTCTGAATCTGCCCCGGCGGGACTCTAGTCGGCCCCTTGGTTCGGACTCTACTGTCAAACATGTTGGACACCATGTCCTGTCAGCAAGTTTTGGCTAATGATTTTTAACAATTTTCCTCAAATTTTGGCTAAAGAAGGCCTCAATTGGCTAAAAAAAAATTTGTTGACTTTAGCCAATTGGCTAAGCAAAAAAATATGTAGAATGACCCCAGCTGTTCAACAGCTTTAGTTATGAATAACCAGTTATTGTAAATAAATGACGAAATATATCCGATAAACAAAAAATAATATTTTTTTTAAGTAATGCCATATGCTAGCCCTATCAAAACTTGCTTTGGATACAAACATTCAATGTTTTCTAATGTCAAGCTTTGAAATAAAAAGAAAACTTTTTTTGGTAACAGATGGATGGAATTATTATATAATTTTAAAAGTTTGTTTATCGATAATTTTGTAAGTAAAAACATATTTTTATTAAGCATACGGTAATAGATGGATGGTAACAGATGGATGGTAACAGATGGATAAAAGGTTTATATTCATAAATTTGGGTAATAATCATAGAAAAAATAAACAATAGCATATCAAATGCATTAATATAAATTATTCTTAACCAGTTATTGTAAATAAATGACGAAATATATCCGATAAACAAAAAATAATATTTTTTTTAAGTAATGCCATATGCTAGCCCTATCAAAACTTGCTTTGGATACAAACATTCAATGTTTTCTAATGTCAAGCTTTGAAATAAAAAGAAAACTTTTTTTGGTAACAGATGGATGGAATTATTATATAATTTTAAAAGTTTGTTTATCGATAATTTTGTAAGTAAAAACAAAAAAAAAACACATTTTTATTAAGCATACGGTAACAGATGGACGGTAATAGATGGATGGTAACAGATGGATGGTAACAGATGGATGGTAACAGATGGATAAAAGTTTTATATTCATAAATTTTGATAATAATCATAGAAAAAATAAACAATAGCATATCAAATGCATTAATATAAATTATTCTTTATACAAAAAAAAAATTAATGAAAAATATTTTTACCGAAATGAAAGTAAATATATAGATACCGATTTAAAAGTTGGGGCAAGTTGGCTTGTGGTTTGCCACAAAAACACGAGGGCCGATGCGATGGTGGTCAAAAGAGTATATCCTAGTATCGTTAATAATAATAATTTAATCAGTGACTTTGGGCCATCGTCAAGTACGTAAAATACATTTAAATAATGTGTGAAATAATTTTATAATGCACTGCGTTGGTCGCTTTGCAGCGTCATCATCATCATCATCGTATCTTTTATCATCAGCGTCGTCTTCATCCATGGCCGTACAGTAAGCCTACATCTTCCCACTTGACTTGCTATATTATAATAAAATATTCTGCAGAAAAACCATAGACAATTGTCCCTGCTGTGATCTAACACATACCGGAGTAAATAGCAGAGGATATACTTTGCTTAGTGACGTAGTAATCCCCTCTGATAAGGTATCGGATAACAGTATACCACCTACCTCATTGGATGTTAATATCAATGCTTCCCGCTCTGATTAAACTATCTTGTCTGTAACCAGAACAGTACTTCACATCTCCCAATTATGAACCTCGCAGTAGAAATGGGACCAATTACAAAAACGCGATTAAAAACATAAAATGGATAGCATGTTTGAACAGCAAGTAACTGATTTTGGCTGTGCACTTTTTAGCTGCAACACAACAAAGCAATAATCAGGTGAAATTTGACCGCCAGGTCAAACTACTGCAAAGCTAGATTGATCACGCACGAACATTCAAATTAGTACTCTTGTTCATGTCCTAGGCCTACAAGTTAAAACGTCAACAAACATGGAGCAACAAAATCGTTTTGTAATTATTTTGTTGGGGAACATTGGGCCTAGGCCTGTCCCCTCTTCTAGGCCTACCGTTGTCCTCGTAAGTTCACTAGTTCATTGTGCCGATGAGCACAACCGGAAGCATTCACCTTCTCGCCGCACACCGTATCCTACTCCTCGTCATCATGACCAGAATTCACATGAAGTATATTGTCTTGTTGATGAGAAAGAAACTATACAGTTTTGAAAATGTGTTAAACAAAATGGTGACGTAATTTCCATCACAAAAACCGATTTTCGTAAAAGAAAAATGCAGTTGCAATGCAGGCAGGCTGTCTAACACTCGTTAAAAAAGCACTCGGTTTAAAAAAGTTTATCATTTTGTGTTTATCAGTAGAAACATGCCCTATAATTAAAAAGTCGCTTTTCTAGTTTTAGTCGCTGATGCTGGTTTTGGCATGGCAAACTCCATATTGCCTGGACTTTAGGCCTCATTGGTATAATCTGTTCTTTTATGTTCATCTGGCCCCTTTCTGTCAGCCACCCAAGGCAACTTGCATACCAGCATTTACACACCATATGGGTTCCTGATAGCAGAAACATTGGTTTTTGGTTTTCTTGTTTTTAATTAATAGTATAATATCTATTGTCTTTGTACTGTACATGTTTTGTGTTTCAAAATAAAATAATAAATTATTTGTATTCTGTACATATCTACAGTATGAACTAAGTTCAGGATTCTTTCAGTAGTTTCGGAGATTTAAAACATTAATTTTACTTGATTTCGAGAGCATAGTCATTTTTCTCTAGTCATCATTCTTACCAATTATATTGACATACCAGTGGCAAATTCTTCACCTGTTGGCCATCACATTTATTGAAATGCCTTTGATAGCAGTGTCAGGGTGCAGTTCCAAATGGATCAGGCAATTGATTTTGTACAGTATAATTGATTAGTTCAAGGTTTAATCGTAATTCATTTGCTTGTGCAATTGTCCAAGACTGAGGACTGTTAAAACAGCCATTGCCATACCTTTTAACTATGGTAGTGTAGTTTTGTCCTCCCATACAAATGGGTTTCCTCAGTTAGCATATGGTTACACCTGTACTCACTGACATATTAAACACAAAACTAATTGACGATTTTTTTTGGCTCCATGATTTATATCTTTGCACGGTCTTCGACTTTAGTTTATGTCACCATTTTAGCTTATACATAAAAGAAAGTCTACAAATGAGTCAGTACATCTTTTTTAAACATTGAGAAACACATCATTTATATACGCAGCCCATGAATTGACACAGCAAACGGGGCGGATCCAGGATTTGAAAGAGGGGGGTTAAAAATTTTGATTCCTAGATGGCTGGAAACTTTCCTGACTTCTGATGTGTCTTAATGACCTTTAATTTTTTCAAAATTCAAGGTTTTACCCCTCTTAAAAAATAGGTCAGGTGATTTTATCTCATTCTTAGTCCTATATCCAAGAAGAAAATCAAAGATATAGTCAATACATTATTAGGCCTATATTCCAACAATATTGCAGTTGTGGATCTAGAGGGGTGAATAGGTTGGCTAGCCACCCCACTTCGGTGACTAAAAAAACGGTCACTCGTCTTGTGTGTGTACTTGTATAATGTATACTCTCGTAAACATACACTTTCTATTTTAAGCTTAACTTCTCTTCAGATGTCCTCCAAGAGCGTCTAGACCTCTACTAATTCCAAAAAAAATCTCAAATGGAAGCGGACACCCCCTCCAAAAATCCGTGATTAAGGGGGACAGGGAATACATAACCAAATATATTTAAGAGGGTGGGGGATTGGTCCCCTCAATTTTGTCCGCAATGTAATAATTTCATAAGTCAAGAAGATGCCTGAAAATTATTGAAATGAACTGCATTGAAGACTTGTACAGCCAGTATTCTATCTCTGCCCACGAACATCTGAATTAATGATAATAATAATAATAATAATAATCATACGGTAATAATAATAATAATAATATAGGGCCTATAATAATAATAATTGTGATTAAATTATTATTATTATTATTATTATTATTATTATTATTATTATTATTATTATTGTTAATAATAATAATAATAATAGTATAAGTTAGTTTTTGGCACAGTGAATGTAAATTAAAAATAAGTCAAAGACAATTGAGTTTAATTTTCAATAGAACACCACAGCGATTAATTAGATGACGATGAATTTTACCCTAGAAGACTGTCATTTCCGGCAATCTAGAGGTATTTCCCCAAATATTCCCACCTCAGCCCTTAGCTATGAACTAGGCTGTGAAGTAGGTAGGCTAAAAGTAAATACTGTACATCAAAGACAATGTTTTTAAGTTTTATTTTCTAAGTACATGACATTAATTAGATTTGGTTGCTGCAAATCGCTGGTAAAATGTCATTTGACTGTATAAAGGTGATGTGATGACGATGAATTTTACATATAGTGTCGTCATTTCCGATCATCTACAGCTAAGTATTTCCTACTAAAATTTTAAAACCTCAGGCCCAACCATGGTGGGCCTGAGGTGGAAGTGAACTCACAAAATGTCCCCTTCACCTTTAGAAACTGGGCCTTTGCCAAAACCACACCTCCCCCACCCCCTGCTTGGTGCTTCGCAAATCGCATTATCCACCCCCATTGCTAAGTCCTAGATCCGCCACTGTATTGATCGAGTAAATTGTTGTTGTAGTAGTCTTTCTTATAGATCGATGAACCGATAGGCCTGAAGAATTAAACACTTTCGTACATAAATTATTACAACGGCCCCCCCCCCCCCCCCCGGATCCGCCACTGGCAAAGAAAGGCTAATTTTTTGCCAGCCTAGCCCTAGGATTTCTTAGCTTTCAATAACTGTATGAATGGGTAGCACCTTAAGCCAAAACGTTGACTGAAACTGGCCATAACAGAAACTAAATTTTATGTACGTCATCAAACCAAAGGTATGTAAAACAGATCTGTTTGTACAATGTTTATTTTTGGCAAGGCCTAAACTACAGTACGTACGATTATGTGTGTTTGAATTGTCTTGACTTTCTCAACTAGGGGCCTAGGTAGGGCTAGCCTAGGCCTAGTCATTTGGTACTGTACTAGTTACTAGCCAGCCTAGGCCTAAAACATCGGCCAATTGAAGCTAAGTAGTTGCCTAGATCGTAACACAAACCTTATTTGTCTTCATTGTAGGGGAAAACCATTTTCAAAACATTGTTTATTATATCTAAAAACAACCAAATTAAATATGTACTAAGCCTACATATTATAGACTACCGATGTCTGTGACTTCTGTCAAGTACAGTATAATACATGTGCGGGAAGCGAGTTTTGTTTTTTCTGCAGGTAGGTTGAGCCTATTTCAAGTTCTAAGCCATTTACTACACAGGCTACCTGCAAAAAGAAAACACGCTTTGATGTTGGTGGTGCACTTCATAACTTGGCGCTGCTCAGGCTCAACTATAGTACAGTAGTTCTCCAAAGAAAGCAAATTTTCAGTGACTGTTCAAATTCTCTATCAATAATATAGTTATTATTGTAGAAAATAAATTAAGGGAATGATGGTCTATTATGAATTATGAGGAAATACGTTTTTGAACCACAGACAGTAGCTTAATATTCATCCGTGTTCTGGATCTCTAAAATTTTGTCTTCTATTAAAATTAGCCCTTTTCATTGGTTAGTTTGATAGTCATTGCTTGCCTAGTCACCTTCAGCTGAACTACAACTAGGACTAGATTTAGTTGTAGTTAAAACTTCGACTGCGTTGTTTGTGAATACAAATCAAAATTGAAGTTGCAACTATAGGACTAAATGAAGTTCTAGTTTGAAGTTGACTAAAGTTCATTTTAAGAATACGGCATAATTCATTGTTCAATGTAAACATTAAGCAGGAACACAATTTCCTCCTTGCATTTTAAAAGTCAATTGCTCATAATAGGCCTACTTCTATTCTTTGTGTCTTTTCAGGTGCATTTCTTATACCCTACCTGATCATGTTAATATTCACTGGCCTTCCCATCTTTTTCTTGGAGGTATCCTTAGGGCAGTATAGTAGTCAAGGGCTAATCACATGTTGGAGATCAGTTCCTCTCCTCAGAGGTAAGTCTAGTAGCAAAGTATAAGGGAGCTTTTGATTGCACGACGACGGTAGGATGTAGAACGTAATGACGTCACTAAAAGTCTCTTGCGCATGCAAGAACATTAAGGTCACCTCGTCGAGTAGACCCTGGAATGCAATTTGGCCAAATCTACGTATGCAGAGAATGTAGGACGCCAGGTAGGATGGTCACGCATGAGTGATTCTGTTCTAGCGTCGTGTCGTCACACAAATAGAAAGCTCCCTGCTGTCTGTTATTAGGAAGATTTGAATGTCATAAATGAATTAAAATTTTGTTGATCATAAGTACAGACGAGACTTTCTTATACCTTATTTCGCAAAACCTGCTCCCCATCAATAATGATGATTTCAAATAGCAATAAATTTTATTTTTGGCCAATTAGCACACCCACTGCAACAACAAAAAATGGAGATTTCAGAAGGAAGTTAAAGATTGTCTTTATTTTTATTACGCCCACCGCTGTAAAATCTTCAGAAATAAGATATGTATTCTTCCTAATTATATAAATTTAAAGCATTTAACTATTCCATTACTACTACACTGTTTACATTCATCTATAACATTTTAATTTTATTTTCTCCATCTGGATGTTTTTGGCAAAAACCTTTGCTAAATAAGAAAATAATTTTTTAATTTTTCTGCCCTCCTCTGACAATCTTTAAAAAAATAAGTCCACAAAACAAGGCAAACAAAAAGCTTTATCCAACTATGTTGTGCTGATAATGCTGTTTTGGTTATATCCTAGGTATCGGGTACGGAATGTTGATGGTATCAATATATGTAGGTGTGTACTACAATGTAATCATCATGTACGCCATCTACTATATCTTTGCCTCCTTCACCAAAGTCCTTCCCTGGGCTGGTTGTCATCATGCCTGGAACACAGAATATTGCAATGAGTTATTTGACGAATGTCTTGAGAAGCAAGGTATCATGAACATGTCCAATGTATGTGTAAATGTGTCTTCCTTGAGCGATTTGGAGATGGATTTATACAACATCAGCACGGGTGAGGATGGTGTACTGGACATTAGTAATTACTCGGACCCTTTTGAAGATTCTCGTAGACGTGCCAGCGAAGAATATTGGAAGTAAGTTGTATGCCATCTTTGAGATTTTGGAAAAGTTTTGTTTTGGGAATATTTGACTGAGTAATTTAGATTTAGCTGGACTTCGTGAATTGTGAGTGTAACTGTTGGACTGAATTTGTGATAGAATCACAATTGTATAATGTTTGGTTTTAATTGCAGTGGTACCATTTCCGACCATCTAGAGGTGCCATAATCATGAATTTTCTTACCTCAGCCTCAACCATGGTGGGTTTGAGGTAGTCTACACTTTTGATCTATGTATGATATTCCCTACCTGGGCCCCGTCTATTTAAAATTCCTGGATCTACCACTGAATTGATAGCTCCATTTTACAATCCAACCAACCATGCCAAAGTGTTATTACTTCTGGCTATTAATGTGTGCTAGTACTTTAATTGTGTTACAGCACAGTGCAATATATAATTCAACACGATTTTTGTCCCTCATCAACAAAAATTTAATAACGAAAATATAAAATAAAGTGAACAACATCCTTCTGGAAGAGGACCTACTTGTTTTTACTTTAGGGGTGGATTTTGGGGAGAGGGGGTGTCTAAGAAAGTAAAAAAGAAGGACAGAAATTGAAATCCCACCCCCCCCCCATTTCTGACATCTCTGGATCCACCCCTGTACTTGATGTCATTGAGTTGATGTTGATGATTACTGGTATTTAGCATTGTTTACATTCACGATTTTTGTCCCTCATCAACAAAAATTTAATAACGAAAATATAAAATAAAGTGAACAACATCCTTCTGGAAGAGGACCTACTTGTTTTTACTTTAGGGGTGGATTTTGGGGAGAGGGGGTGTCTGAGAAAGTAAAAAAGAAGGACAGAAATTGAAATCCCCCCCCCCTCCCATTTCTGACATCTCTGGATCCACCCCTGTACTTGATGTCATTGAGTTGACATTGATGATAACTGGTATTTAGCGTTGTTTACATTCATGTGTGTGTGAGTGAAATTCAATAACAAATGTCATAAATGACCAAAAAATTATTACGGCGCTAATTATAGTATTTTCGGAGGCTTCATTGCAGCCCTTATACTAGACCTATTCATCTATCTGCGAACTTATTGGATCATTTATGGTAGAAATTTTGAAAATAATTTGCATGGATTTACCACTTCTTTACCACTGTGTTTAAAGATTGATCTATTTTTTAAAATTGTGTATGGTTACTTTTCACAACACTTGCACCAAACTCGCATCTTTATTTTATTTTCATTTTATTTTTACTTTGGAATCTGCAGTTTTGGAATAGCCATATGGTTTCAATGTTTAGATTGGACAATTTTATCTCACTACCAGCATATAATACATTATTGTCCAGGTGTTGTATGTCTATATTTATTAAAAGTAAAACTAAATTTGACTCTTAAATTGATCAGATATTAAGTAGGCTTAAGTGCCTTTTTTAATGATGTTAATGTAACATGTTACTTTCAAAGAATCACTCTGAAATTTTAGGTAAAAAGTTCATGATTGTAATTTAAGGGTTGTGTCCAAGATTTCATGTCAGCTGACAAAGACAAACAAAAATCAATATTTTAAATTTGAATTATTTATAATAAAAATATGTTTTAGTTGGAATTCCAAATATAGAACATTCTGTCAAAATGTTTATTTACTGTAGACAACAGACATTTCCATGTACAGCAAAACCAGTAGGTTAATACCATAAAATAGAGTTAAAGTATGGGTAGAAAAATATGGATGAAGATTGGACACAGCCCGTTTTGTGAACTTTATAATATTTGTCTTTTCTGCACCAGATTCTAGCCTGGCTATTGGAAAACAATGCACCTGTCTGAAAGGCAGACATCAGCTTACTTCACAGAGGATGCTGGTAATTCCCATTTACACCTGTGAAATGTAACCTCGCTTTAAGAGTAATCAACTTTGCTAGGGTAATCATTTCACTTGATAAAACCTCAACATCACACAAAACGATTCTTTGATGGTGGCTCATTTTTTAAAAGAATTATGAAAAGCTATGCATGCATCTAGAACTACTCTATGATATAAACAGCCTGTTTCCTGGGGGTTTTTTTATGCCTTATTATGCCTGAATGAAAACTAAAGTTAATAGTAAATACCTGTATGGTATTTTTACATGTGGTTGTGTTGTGTGTTTTGTATCATCTAAGATAATATATTTGGTGCCAAAATATTTATCATAATTCATATAAAAACTATTAATATTACAAATTTTATTAACACATAAATTAACCTCAATTTTCCAAATGTTTCTGGGTTTGAGTGCAAAATGTGATTCTGTCTTATTTGTTTTAGACTCAATCATTCTCTGATTATTAATAATCATTTTATATTACATTTACATTTATATTAAATATTAGCTTACAAGTCATTCTCGTATCATGAAAATGTATACTGTACAGTTTTTAAATTAACCATAGTTAGAAAACAAGTTACAAAGGCAAAGGATTATCAAAACAACTTATAAATGAAGAAGCATAGGTAAGTACAGTATGCTATACAGTACATGATAATTTCTATAAATTCATAGAATCAACAACATTAATTTTGTCTGTACGGTACCAAGTGAATATGTACTGCTGTGCATACATTCGTTAGACAGCTGCTTTGATTTTAATCATCCAAACTTCAACTGAATTGCAAGCTATGAATCCAAGCTAGTTCTGCAGATTCTCAACGATCGACATGAATAAACATAAACGACAATGATCACTCGCAAAATTTGCATGGGAACGCTGATTTAATGATTTAATTGAAGCAGTACTTATAGTCTTTGCCCCATGTAGACCGTCCTGCTTACTTTATCTCACGAATATAACACACAAGTCGTCATCAAATTCTGCTACTTAGTTATCAAACTGTTGTATTGTTTATTTCAGGTTTAATGTGCTTCGTGAATCTGAGAGTCTTGGGGATTTTGGTAGAATTGACTGGCGGTTGTGTCTGTGTCTTATGCTAGCCTGGACCATTGTATACCTCTGTCTTATTAGAGGTGTCAAGTCCTCTGGAAAGGTGATTACATTAGATGATATAGTGGATGAGACAAAAAGTCAAGATGTTTTGAGAACAGTTAATTTGTGTGGAGCTGTAGATTGATGGTTAAGATACTTGCCCTCTGATCCCAGAGACCTGCATTTAGCTTCTGCCACATATAACAGGATTTTCTGTTATGACCAATTTAGCAACTCGGCTTGAAAGCGTCATAACACTTCGTTTGTGTATAGTAGAGCATCTTGTATGTCTGTCTTGTTTATATGGTCGGAGGTATTGCTACTTAGAAAGTGATTAAGTTTATTATTGCCAATCCTTGGCCTATGTGCTTAAATAATGAATGATGAATGAAAAATATCAAATACGTACTATTCTCTGGTATTAGATGATTATAATGCAAGATAAGCTGTTGGTTTCAGAAGATAAAACAGAATGTTAAATAAAGATGTGGAAACATGCCTAAATCACATAGTTGTATGAGAATCAGATGTGAGATAAGAGATACATTAATGCTAATATTGCTTATTCATGTTTTTAGATAATTCTCATGAGCATTATGCTTATTACTATATGTTGTACAGTCTTTTTTTAGTTATTTTTTAAAAACTGTACATGTAGACCAGGAATGTAGACTCTCCCACTGTTACTTTTTAGGTAAATATCCTTTTTAGGTAAACTTTTTTTAGGTGACTTTTTAGATAAATTAAGATTAAATAAGTCATCTTTACAGTCTTTATGAAGAAGTGCATTATGGTACTGGTATAGGTATATAATGCACCTCTTCCTTGAGGTTATAAAGCGCAGTTATTTTCCCAGGTCATTGGGTCCACATGCTACGTGTTGCTGCTGGTAATCAATGCAGGAGCAGGCAACCCCACCAGTTACCTATTGATACTCCTGGGTAGAGAGAAGCAATGCAGATAAAGTGCCTTGCTCAAAGACACAAGCGAAATGCCCAGCAAGGGATTGAAACCTCGACCTCAAGGTTGGGAAACCAAACCGTTCTCGCTGCGCCAAACCACTTCTACCATTATGAATGAATGAAAGCTTTAGTATTTCAATATTATAGACTTAAGCTCTGTCCAAATTATCAGCAATTATTTTTCTTTAACAAAAAAATGTATGCCCATGTATAGTAATGATGTGCCTATATATGGTGTGATGTCATCATGACCATATTTAGGCATGTCACATGTTTTTGTCAAATAAAATTTGATAGTCTGGACAGGGCTTAAGGTGGCTCATTAATTATTATATTGATGATGTAATATTTTTTTTTTTTTTTTGTAGGTTGTGTACTTTACAGCAACATTTCCATACCTGGTACTGTTCATCCTGCTTATCCGTGGATTGACTCTACCTGGTTCAACTGATGGTGTTTTATTTTTCATCACACCAAGATGGGAAAAGCTACAAGACTCAACAGTAGGCTATCATTAATTTAAAAAATAGTATCAGAGCATTCATGATCAACTTTTCAAAATGCACATTTTGGCTATTTTTATAGTTTTCAAATCATGTACTTTTGGTGCTGTGAGGTCGTCAGATTTATATGTTTGTAGTATGAAGTTGGCCACACATTTGCCGTGGCCAATGGTTGTGAATGCTTCAATGAATCGTCTGCTGATTGTCGGGTTGCAGTCTAAGTAGGTCGTCATTAAAATCAAGTACTTATGTGCACTTTATGTCATTGCATTCTTTGTGGAATTGTGTTGCCTGACCACTATACCGTAATTTCTCTGGTATAAGCCCAACCCCTTCAACACAAATTTGGCGAATTTTTTGGGTTGGCTTAAGCGAAGCATTCACTGCGTCGATGAATCCAACTCCGCACAACTCATCCGTTGCGCGCACGTCGTGGCGTTGCGTTGTTCATAGAATCACGTCGCCGACGCCCATCGTGTGCATTGAGTACCCGGCTTAACACACATGGAATCCCTTTTTAAATCAAATGGCAATTTGTCTGCACTGCTGTCTAATTCAAAGCCAATATTTGATGTTTTTTTTTTAGAATATCTGTAGAAATTATACCTCAGGCTTTCCTGAGGAAAGGCTAGTACATAAAATTTGGCATAAAGTAGGGGGTGGGGTTATACACTAGGAATTATGGTACTGCACCATTACAGTTTGAATTAATTTAATTTGCAAACATTAATCCACTGTTTTTTTTTTGTTTTTTTTCCATGACAGGTGTGGTTGGATGCAGCCTCTCAGATCTTCTTCTCCTTGAGTGTTGCTTGGGGCGGTCTCATCACGCTTTCCTCCTACAATCGGTTTCACAATAACTGCTACTTGTACGTAATTTTCTATCTTATAATCAAGTTGGGGATATAGGAAATTTTTGTGAAAATACAAAAAGTTCCATTAGTCAGGTTCAGGTACATCTCACCAACTAAGACAACCAGGTGCAGAACATCTTTTGTTAACAATGCTGCCCCTGTCATGAACTCAACATTCCAAATGTAGTTTGAGATTGGATTTTAAATATATGGTTTTTTTAATATTGCTGAAGAACAGATTACATGATACTAATGGCAGTGAGACTGCATATATGACTCTGTCATTGGAGATGCAATTCACCAAAACCTGATTAGGAACTGGGAATTAAGGGGTAGTTTCCTTGTGGAAAATAATATGTCTACAGTCTTCTCACCTACAAAATACTTTCAATAAATAAGGAATCAGTTTGTAGCACTTTTATGGCCTAACAATATAATTTTCACCCTAATCGATGGGCTTCATCAGGTGTTGTTTTTAATCATATTGTTAGCCATAAAAGTGCTACAAACTGATTCCCTGTTTATTGTATTTATGTGGCTGATATGTGACTGATATGGCTACTCAACTACAGTACCTAACAATAACTAAAAATCTCCATTTTTACTGTTTTCTAGTGATGCTATTCTGATTCCAATCATAAACTGCAGTACAAGTATCTTTGCTGGTTTTGTTATTTTTTCCATCCTTGGTTTCATGGCTCATGAGTCCAACCGAAAGGTTGAAGATGTTGCTGATCAAGGTAACCATTCACATATCTAAATTTAATATTCATCTTATGAGTTTTCATTTTATTATATTTAAATAATTTAATTGTTTACTACTACAGTAGAACCTCGATTTTACGTACGGTACGGGACCAGAGGGCGTACGTAAAATAGAGGTTGGGTTAAATTCGTGGTAACATTTGACCTAATACGTACGTAACGCTCAATAAACGTATGTACGAACGAACGATGATACCTAGGCTAGACCTAGCCTCTAGGCCTACGAATA